CTTCTTTTTATGTTTTATTAAAATATTTAAATACATTCATTATTATTTCACGACTTTGTCCTAATATCACGGATCTACACTTTTTATTTTCCACAATGGCAGACATTATCCATCTCACCAGTCACTTTGCAAATACAGACAGAGGAAAGAAACAATCACATGTGTGCATATACAATAGTTACGGACAGGTAGTTACGTTACTGACAGTAAGCCAGAATAAGGTTTAAAGTGTAAGTGGGCGTTGTCGAATTTTAAGTAAACCAAATCCGGTTTATATGCTGGTTCGTCAAAGTTGGCTTCCACTATTAGGTTACGAACTGTTAAGTTAAAGTTATTGACCAGATTCTTAAATAGTCCTTACTATTAATTTAAATATTTCGTAACTGTACTCCGTACAAGAAATATTTCTTTTGTAGAAAACACAGAAGAACAGTCTACTGTGAACTTATCCCGAAACATAATTTTAAAAGACAATTAATTACATAAGCACTTCATATTTACAATTATCAAATCGACCCTCCCAACGAAAACTGTCGTAACTCATTTTTATTTCAATTTTAAGTTCTTACCATAAACAGATTTTATGATACCGAAATTTCTTCCAGAGAATACTATAACTCAAATCGTAATATAGACAACACAATATACATTAATGTTAATGTACTATCGCAATGCTCTCTGTAGTTTACCGGGAAGAAAGTAGTATTATGGATTTACTATAGTATTCGCTGTAAATTTGTGAGAAAGGGCCTAAACGTGGGGGCTATACGATTCAAGCGAATAAAATTATAAGTTATGTCAATGTCGTTTCACATTAGATGAAGTACAAAAGAGAACAATGTTTATTGTTATAATAATTTATAATAATGTCGCAGAGAACTAAATGAATTTTGGGATTACTTGTTAATAATAATACACAAATCAATCAGGTAAGTTGCTGTCATTATACCTTTGAATATCTAATTAAAATCTTAATGTTCTACATAGCATGGACAGTAAAAAAGTTAATTTCAAAGGAACAATCTAGTTTTTTAATCATTTAAACGTTTCTTTTTTCTTTAAATTAAATTTTTTTATTTTTCTAAAATTAAAGGAATGACGACAATCATACCTGTGATATTGATACCAATATATTTCCTTTTGATTATTCTGATGATGATCCGAACTATACCTATTCTCTCAGTATCAGAAGCCGAAAACGAAAATTTAAATTTATCTGATAACAAAAGAAGTAATGTCTCATTGGACAGATTATAATCAAAAGAAAGCGAAAAGTGACAGAAAAGGTTAAGATAGAAAGAAAACAAGTTAGAAATGAGAACGAATCGATGGACAAAAAAGTCAAAAGAGAACTTATAAGCGGTCTCGAACATAAGAACCACAGATAGGTTTATATGTACCTGCAAAGAAGACGAAGGCTCCTTGTAAGGATAGTGACATATTTAAATGTAATAGCATATTAAATTTTAAAACAATAAGTAATACTAAGACGAATTTTGGAAACTTGGAGATCATACTAGGCAGTGGGCTTTTCTTGCAAGATAAAACGCAAATCACTGTAAACAATTCTAGGAGAAACTTTTGGCCAAATATAAATTTATTATTGGTAATGTCGAAAAACAATTTGCAAGACAGTGTTCTTAAATACGCTTACGATTTATGAAACTTTTGCTAATACTGCATTGAAAAAAAAAATAGTGAAGCTGGTACCATAGAAGCAGATAAGCGAGGATAACATAATACGAGACCGCACAAGATCCTGGAGAGTGTAAAAGCCACCAGTGTACAATACATAAAATTATTTCCACTTGTATTTTCTTATTATACAAGAAAGAACTCAAAACGCGTGTTCTTAGAAGAGGGCCTAAACATATCTGTAATGCATCGAATTTACGTGGAACGTGCCAAACTCAAAAAATGGGATGCCGTCTCGACAGTTAGACAATAAGGGATACTCACAATTCAATATTGCATTTATCAAGCCTAAGAAAGATCATTGTTCAGTATGCAGTGCTTATAACAATACAAATCTGAGGAAAGGAACTCAATCAATGGAAGAAAATTACACTAGCCATGTTTTAAACAAAGAATCTGTTAGAAATCTGAAAGATACCAATAAGAAATTGTCAAAAAGTGCTAAACCGTTTTTAACAATATGCTTCAATTTACAGAAGGTATTAGTAACGTCCAAGTCAGAGGAAAGTAACTGTTATTATAAAAGTAAACTTGCAACATAATTTTACTATTTACGTCTTGGGCAATAATCAAGGTTATTGCCACGTATGGCATGAACAAATATCAAAAAGGTGGCCGAATGAAATTGCAAGCTGTTTTTGGCATTTTTTAAAAAGTGCAAAACAAGATGGCACTCGAAAAATTGTGTTATACTCCGAAAATTGAGGAGGGTAAAACCGCAATTGTTTTATTTTTTCGATGTTTGCTTATGCATCGGTGACTTTGGATCTGGATATAACACACTGTTTCCTTGAGAGGGGTCATACCCAGAACGAAAATGACAGCATGCACGCTGTGATAGAAGTTGGAAAGAAACGAAATCCGAATATTTATACTCCTGACCAGTGGATTAGCCTCATAAAGATGGCAAAAGTTACTTCCCCATTGTATAGAGTGAAACAAATGTCTCAACAAGACTTTTTTAATTTTAAACCAATGGTTCAAAAACAGAACTGGAATAGAACTAACACTGCAAACTTAGGGAAATTCACTTCGAACCGAAGAATCCTTATAAAGGTTATTTTATCTACAATTTTGCAGAAAATTGGAAAAAACTCGACATCGCAACATCAAAATTACGTATACCCCAAGAATATAAACTACCACGTTTATACTAAGGTCTTTTACCAATTGACAGTAAAAAATTAAAGGGTATATTAAGTTTAATGGAAAAGTAAGTAAGTAAAATGGAATTAAAGCTCTGTGTAATCTCTTTAACAGAATTTATGACACTGGGATATTACCAACTGATTAGTTAAAGTCGACATTTGTCACAATACCTAAGAAACATCGTCCAAAGACATGCGGCGATTATCGGACAATAAGTCTGATGAGTCACGTTTTGAAGATCTTCCTGCGAGTAATACACAGCAGAATTTACACGCTGTTAGACGACAGAATTAGAAATACTCAATTTGGGTTTAGGAGTGGCTTGGATATAAAAAAAGCCTTGTTTAGTATACAGGTGCTAGTACAGAGATGCAGAGATGTAAATCAAAATGTGTACATTTGTGCAACCGATTTTGAAAAAGCTTTTGACAAAGTCCGACATAACAAAATGCTAGAAATATTGGAAACAACTGGATTGGACGATAAAGATCTACAAATAATTACAAATCTATACTGGCATCAAGTGGCAAGAAAAGGTTGAACAAGAACTGTCGGATGAAATAAATATAAAAAGAGGAGTGAGACAAGGCTGTATATTGTCGCCTTTACTGTTTAACTTATATTCGGAGGAAATATTTAAGGAAGCCTTAATGGAGACAACCGAAGGTATTATTGTGAATGGAGTAACCGTCAACAATGTTAGATATGCCGACGATACCTTAGTCCTTGCCAATTGCGGAGAAGACCTTCAAAATCTAATGAACAAAATAAAACAGACTTGTGATCAGTGTGGATTAAAACTCAACGTTAAAAAACTAAATATATGATAGTTTGCAAACAAAATTATATACAGGATGACGGTATAAAAGTAGGAGATGCCACACTGACAGAGTAGAGAAACTCGTGTATCTCGGCAGTAATATCAATGAGAGCTGGGATCCAACCGCAGAAATTAAAAGCCGGATAGAACAAGTCCGAGCTGCCTTTGTAAAAATGAGAAACGTACTTTGCAGACACGATCTTAGCATTGACCTTAGAGTTTGTATGACATCTTGCTACATCTTTCTTGTCCTGCTGTATGGAGTGGAAGCGTGGACTCTAACTGAGGATATGCTTAAACGCTTGACAGCCTTTGAGATGTGGGTATACAGACGACTACTGAAAATAAGCTGGGTCAACAGAGTTAGAAATGAGGAGGTCCTTAGACGACTGAGCCAAACAACACAACTGGTCAATATAATAAAGAAACGCAAGCTGGAATACTTCGGTCACATTATGAGACACCCTGAAAAATATGATCTTTTACATCTGATCATTCAGAGAAAGATCCAAGGTAATCGTGGTCCTGGTAGACGAAGAACATCATGGCTGAAAAATCTAAGGCAATGGTATGGAAAATCAACTACATCGTTATTTAGAGCTGCTGTCAATAAACTCACGATAGCGAATATGGTAGCCAACATGATATCCAACGATCGATAACGGTCATGGAACTAGAAGAAGAAGAAAACCAATTTTATACCAGCAATGTACCATGGTCTTTATAACTCCCTGCGGCCTGCTAGTGAAGACTTTCTACCAGAGTGCTCTACAGATCAAGAACTCGTTCTGAATCCTAACAATAGCGGTGTATTGTACTAAGGAATTAGTCGTTAATTATTATTATTATAATTAGTGTCATAATGTGATTATAAACACATCGCTAAAAATAAAATATTTGTAAATTTTATTTGGTTTATTATTGTAGTACGTTTTTATATATAAAATTTTTGTCGACGAAGACTGTAGTAACGAAGACTGTAGTGTCATTCAAAATCCAAAATCGAATATATTTATAAACTTTATACTCGTTTGCAATATTTCTGATGGCACAAATAATTACTAAGTGAAAAAATGAAAAACGCAGTAGTGATAATTAAAAATTACAGAACGTTACTTTTCATAATTAATTTTAAACGCAATTATCTCGGAATGAGCGATTTTGAGTTACCACACTTTTCATTAGGAGGGTCGAAATAATGTTCATATTTATGAAAACTTTCGTTTTACTATTTGTGGAACATATATTTCTTATTCGGTATTTATTCTTTGGTTATCAAACAACTCTTAAACGTAAAGTATTTTTTTTAATATATAAACTTTTTGTTTTCTTTAAGACACAAAATACTGTATATGAAATAGTGTCAGACATGAGCACAAGACAAGACAGCGTAGAAGATAGATTAACAACAATGGAAGAAAAACTCATAGCACTACAAGAACAACTAGATTTACTACCTGAGTTAATTACTACGAGAATACAAACTCAAGTAAGTACACATTATGTATATGCTTTAATTTTTTCTTGTTAATAACCATTTTAAAGATAGTACCACTTCAAAAAAATTGTGTTCAAAAAGTTAACTTTTGTGAATATCAATATTTTTAAAATTCCTCCACAACTCATTACTTCCAAGGTTTTAATGGAATCACAGCAATTAAAATATTTATTTTGGGGTAAATTGTGGAAATTATTATATAATTTTAAGTAATTTTAAACTCATTTCAAATTTTTAATAATAAACACATAAAAATACACAAATTCTCTCTCCTACACTACAACAATTTTCTTCAAGCATATGTATTTTTTTTTTCGTTGGTTTATTACTCTCACTCCTTTACTATAAATGTAGTTTTAATTACAAAGAGTATAAAGTGCGCTTAGAATATTTAACCTTCGGCCGTTGACGTAGTAGCGAAAAGTCACACTTTAGGTGACGTCTGTTCCAAGCAGCCACCTTATATCATGCGTTACTTTATATACTATATCATGTACCAAAAATTAGGTAAAGTTTTACGATACAGGATCTCTCAAAAAGGTATGTCATAAATTAAATTAAGCATTCCGGGGACAAAAATAAATTGAGTGAATCCAACTTACCTTAGTACAAAAGTGTATACAAAAAAAGTTACAGCCCTTTGAAGTTACAAAAAAAATGTTTTCTGCCATTATCTTCTAATGTACTTGACATTTTGTAATAAAAATGGACACGTTACTTTCTTGTTCTAAAAGCATTTTTCATAAAAAAGAAACAAAATCTAGAGAGCTACTGGAGCAAAAAACGCGTTCGCCCTTATCCAGAAGACAATGCCTGTAAAAAAGTTTCTGGCAATAAAGAAACACTTATCGTTTCAAGATGAAAGGCAGCGCATTCAAAAAGGTCAGCCAGGCTATGATGCACTGTTTCGCATCCGGAAATTGGCTGATAAGGTCAACAATCGTTTTGATTCGATTCCAAAGACGGCTAGATTGTGTGTTGATGAGCAGATGTGTTCGACCAAACTCAAGCATCATCTCCGTCAATATATGCCAAATAAGCGGCACAAATGGGGCATCAAACTGTTTGTGCTTTGCGATTCTCACGGTTACGCATATCGTTTTGAAATTTACAACGGTGCAGGCGACAATATAATTCTTCCTGGCGCACCTGATCTTGGAAGTACATCAAACGTTGTTGTACATTTGTCACAGACCATACCTAGCGTTTCTCATTACATCCTTTACTTCGACAATTTCTATACGTCTTTACCTTTGTTAGTTTATTTACGTGCAAGAGGAATCTATAGCCTTGGTGCAATACGGACAAACAGAATCCCAAACTGTAAGCTTCCGTTGGATAAGGATATCAAAGATGAAGAAAGAGGATATTCTGTTGAATATGTTGGATCTGCGTACGGTGTTGATTTCAGTACAATTTTATGGAAAGATACCAAGAACGTGCGGCTGGCATCGACTTACGTTGGCATTGAGCCGTTTTTTGAGAGAAAATCCAAATCAACATATTGCAAAAGTACCACGATATGATCGAAAGAAAAAAAATACATCGAAGTCAACTGTCGGCAGATCATTCGCGAATACAACAGACATATGGAAGGAGTCGATCTGATGGATGGATTGATGGGTCGCTACCATATTAGAGCGAAGACACGTAGTGCAATGGTTCGAATTTTCTACCACTTGATCGATATGGCTGCAACAAACGCTTATATTTTGTACCGGAAAAATGTAATGATTCGAGCAATATCTCAGCGGAACATGAAAATTTGTTGCAGCTACCAGAATTCAGAGAACAAATTGCTGCTGCTCTCGTTGTATTCAGTGAAAAACGTGTACTTGGCCGACCTTCAACATCAAAATCACAATCGAGCTCACCGCAACCAACTACTTCTGGCATTGGAAAAAAAGCAAAACATCCCATTGATGACATTCGCTTCGACGGGATTGATCACTTTCCACTTTGGCTCAACAAAGAGAGTGGTAAAAAAAATGTAAACTTTGAAAAGTGTCAAAAACTCAATGTATGTGTAGCAAATGTGATCTTCACTTATGTTGTTCTAATGCCAAAAACTGTTTTTATAATTTTCACCATAAAAAATAGTGTACACACTTTCTCGTCCGTTTGTTTTTAAGTTTATTTTAATAAAATCCATTCAAATGAATAAAACGCTATTTTTAACTTAAACCGGCAAGGGCCCCCTGAGGACCCCTTTACCTGTTTTTACCTGGAAGCCAAACAAAAAATGATAATTACATTTTAATAGCTTGAAAAAAAATACTTGAAAATAAACTTGAAAAAAATTCCCAAGTAAATAGAATAGTTTTTAGAATCTTGCCAGTTAGAGGTTTAAAAAATTACGTGCTACTAAATAAATGGCTTAAATGAATAATTAACAATTACAAAAAATGTCTACACCGTTAATAAATATGATACTACAATAATGTTTAAAATAACCTCCATTTTCTTCAATACACATTCGGCATTGTTTTAATAAGGAAAACCGAATGCGCTAAAAAATTATATTTTTCTGACGAAATTGATTTTCAGCTTCAAAATTATTTTAACCCTCAATTGTTGTTCGTCTTCTATTTTTACAGAATACACTTTCTCTTTCATAAACCCACAAAAGTAAAAGTCCATGGGGTTAAGACCTGGACTTCTGGATGTCCAAGAAATAGGTGCGTCACGACCCCTTCCAATCCACCGACCAGAATACTGCATGTAAAGGTATTCCCGGACTTCATTACTGTAATGCGATGGAACGCCATCTTGTAGAAACCACATATTTTGCCTTATTGCAATATTCACTTCTTCCAAGTACTCTTGTAAATCGTTTGCCAAGAACTGCAAATAATTATCACCATTTAATTGTTGGGAAGAAATACTGGGCCTATTAGATTGTTATCCACAATTCATACCCAAATATTAACTTTGAAAGTCCTTTGGTGATGTCGTTTTTTTGGCGTGAGAATTTTCGTCGGCCCAAATGTGCTCGTTATGATGGTTTGTTATTCCATTCCTACTGAAGTTACCTCGTCGGTAAACAAAATATTTCTAATAAAATAACATTTCGAGTGTTTTCCATTAACAATGAATCGCAAAATCCAATCCTTTTAGGATAATCTTCAACCAATAACTCTTGAACCGTTGTTCTTGATAGGCTTTAGGTAGCTGATCCTTCAAACGCCTCCAAACCGTTATTTGAGGAACATTTAGTTAAGCAGCTATTACCCTTGTGCTTGTTCCAGGGACTTCTTCGATGAATTCTAAAATGTCTTCATCATTTGCATCCATTATTGGATAACACCACTATTGCCAGCAACTTGCGGTTGGAATGTACCAGTTTCCCGTAAACGACGATCAATGGTCAGAAATAATCGGCTATCGGGTGTATTTCGATTAGGGTATTTTACAACATAACGCCTTGCGGCTGCTGCACTATTTTCTTGACATTCACCTACGATATTCCCGACAGTTTATTGAAATCATAATTTAATCTGATTTAACTTATCCAAAGTTAAATGCATATCTGTCATTTCATGAAATGTGTAGGCCATTGTAATATCAAAATTTTTAATATTAATCTTATTCACACAATAAATGATAGATAGATAGATAGAATTTATTCATCCACAAAGTTTACACAATTTTTACAAGAAAAAAAATGTATAAATCTTATCAGACTAGTCAAAATTTTAGTACAAAAAGAGTACAATATATAGCAAAAGTACACATGATTAAAATAAAACAGTTTTTACAATAAAATAAATAAGAAATAAAGTTACAAATACAAGTTACAAATACAAATTTAGAACTATTGTTGCAAAAATGTTAAAAATTTAAAAATCCATCAACACTGTAGAATGTGTTGTCCATTAAAAACGAATACACAGTTTGGCGAAAACCTTTATGTGAAGAATTACTGAGAGTTAATATATTGACTATTTTATTGTAACATTTTATTCCAATATATTCAGGTGCATGTTGGGATACACCTAATCTAGAGAAAGGTTGTCGAAAATTTGATTTACCCCTGGTATCATGTGAGTGAATGTCCTCATTTCTGACAAACTTGAGCTTGTTTTCCTCGATGTGCAATATTAATTGGAAAATTAGAAGGCTAGGTAGTGTTAAAATATTAGACTTCTTAAATAGTGGCTTGCAACTATCTGAAAATGGAACACCATACATACTTCTTAAAACTTTCTTTTGAGCTATAAATGCCCGTTCAAAATGAGATGAGCAACCCCAAAATATTAAGCCATACTGAAGTACAGACTGGACTAAACTAAAGTAAATCATTCGCAATATATCAAATGAGACAGTTTCTCTTAAATTACGGATTATATAGCTACATGTACTTAACTTTGCTGATACATGATTTACGTGAGTTTCCCATGTAAGTTTATGATCTAGGGTTACCCCCAAAAATTTCGTTGTAGTATAACTTTTTACTGATTTGCCATCCACATGTAAATAAAAGTCAGAATTTGGAGTTAAGTTTTTTGGTAAGAAACGCATAAAATGTGTTTTTGTTACGTTGAGCTTGAGTCCATTATTTTTACAATATGTGCTAAATTCAGCAGACACAACATTGGTATTTTCCACCAGTTGTATGGGTTCACTGTGAGACATGAGAATATTGGTATCATCAGCATACTGAACAATTTTATCTGGCATTGAACAAAACGTGTTTAGGTCACTTACAAATATAATGAAAAATAAAGGCCCAAGTATTGAGCCTTGAGGTACACCCATCGTACATTGAAGTGGCCTGGACGTTACATTTTCCACTGTGACTACTTGAGTTCTATTACTTAGATAAGATAGGGCCCAATTGTACGGTATACCACGTATTCCAATACCCTGCAATTTTTGTAGTAAGAGTTCACGATCAACCGTATCAAATGCACGACTAAGGTCATAAAAAAGACCCAACACATTTAATTTATCATTTAATGCTTTATAAATAAATTGAAGACAGTCAGAAA